ACCACTTGACCTCTTTCAATTGGAGGAGAATGTTTTTCATCCCTTGCCAGCCAGATTATAGAAAGATGCCACTAACTCAGGTTCATTAATAAACTGAACTCCATATTTACAGGTGTGTGTGTGTGTGTGTGTGTGTGTGTGTGTGTGTGTGTGTCGCCTCTCAGCTTTTCTTTTAGAACACTGCTTGGTGGCTGTTGGGGGAAATCTATTGCTTCAATCACAAAACCTCCAAAAAGCATATTAGAGAGATTAACTCCTATCATAAAGACGTGATTTAAATTCCTCTTGGTATGAACCCCTCCACTTGTGGCCTCTTATTAAAACAATATACCACAGTAAGTAGTGGGTGTTCTTTTTTTTCCTAATTACTTTGATTGAAATCTAAGCCAGACAAAAGTAAATATTTGATAAATAGTTAATAATAATTGCTGAAGAATTACTGTAAAGATAATTCCACATCCTTGCCTTCACCTACTTTAAAGTGTAAGTTAAACATGCCTACAACCAGATCACATTTTAAAATACATTATTTAGTTTACAGAATACTGTTTATAACCCAGCATTCTTTCATTTACTTAGCAGTGAGTGGTGTTAGAAGCTAAGTGGAAGCTGTAGCTAGGTTAGGGATTTTCAGATATCCCGGTGTCTTACACTGTATATATCAGATTCCTTTATTGACACTATGTAACTTTCATTCATACTTCAGACAGATGAGGGGCGATATGTAAAGACAGAGGACGGAGGTCCAGCAACCCCAAAACCGCTATCTCTTGCAGGCACCCACCAGAGGAGATGGTTTCAAAGAGCTGCAAAACAACCAGGAAGTTCTCCCGGCAAAGTGTTCATTAACTTTCAACAGCCATCAGATTTTTGAAAGGGAGTCTCATCTAATTGCCTTTGGGAGGAAACATTATTAAGATAATTGGTGTGCTGATCTGGGAAGGTAGGCAGCTTTGCCTTGTAACGGAGGTAGGAAAACCCCCATAACCAAACAACCAACTTGGGGAGGGAGGCCGAGGACTTGAAATCTTCCTGCCCCGAACCGACCGTTCTTATTTTTTTATTTCTCCTCCTGGACAAAAGTTTCCTCCGCCCAGGAGGTGGCTATTCCCGGTGCATCCCGGCAGTTCCGCGTGAGTCCCGTGGCTGGAGCGGGAAGCCCGAGTCCCGGCCGGACGCGGGCAGCGGGGGAGCCCGGGCGCCGCGCTGTCACACGCGCCTCCGCCTGTCACTTACCGTTTCGAAAAGCGCTGGCCGGGGCGAAGGCGACGGCGAGCGCGGCGCAGAGGAGCGGCAGCCCCCTCTCCATTCTCCCTTCGCCGGATCCCCAGGCAGACGCGGGAGAACCAGAACGTGCGGGGAAAATAGAGCAAAGCGGGGAATCTAAACAATCTGAAGAGCTTCAACTCCGCCTAGAGCCGTAAAATCCTCAGTCCGTCTTGGAGAAAGGAGAGCAGCGATGCAATGCCTTGATCCGAGAGAAATGCTTCTCTTTTTGTGTCTCAAGTCGCCTGCATCCTGTCATTTAGCTCCGGTTTCCTCTCCCTTTTCCCACACTTGTTCCTCTTCCAGGAGCCACTGCCCGGGCCATGTCTCAAA